CAAGAATTATAGAAAAGTTGTTTTAAAAGCCTAATGAAGCTAGACTAAGTGTTTAGTCTATGATTCCATAATTTCTTCCTTAAAAATAGTACCTATAGCTGTGTACCTCTCATTTCTATAGAAACCTAAGGTGGGGTTATCATACCAATTTCACCACTAGAGGCTGTAAATGTAGCAGTTAGGAGTGTGGCCTCAGGTGCCAGACTCCCTGGGTTCAAAACCCACCTCTGCCAAATCCTAGCATTTGGCCTTATTCACGTGTATTACTGTAGTACCCCTTCTTAAGTTATTGTGACATGTAAATGAGTTAATATATGTGAAATGCTTGGAACAGTTTTTGGCACATAACCAAAGCCATATAAATGTTACCCAAGTTGCAAGTATAACATTTTTAATTAGAACAGTACTTGGCAGAGGGGGTAGAGCTCAGTGGTAGAGCATTTGACTGCAGAACAGTACTTGGCTTTTGGTAAAAACTCAGTAAATGTTAGCTATTTTAGAGGATGTAAGAATAAGTATGTAGTCGCAAATATACTCCCAATTCCTTGGGTAAAGTTGGGAAGCTCATTCTAGAGAGGGAACTGGCTGCCAACCTAAAGCTAAGATAGAACCAATACTGGGCGAGAGTGCTAAATGACCCCTGGAAGCATTCCACAGAAGGGACTGAACATCAGTATAACTTAGTTTTATAATAGCATCCATTAACATTAAGTGTTCTTGTTTATAACCTGAAGTGTTGGTATCTGCAAGGAAATGATATAGCCTACACATGAGAACTGATTATGATCAGTTTCTCTGGGTGACGATAACAGCTCTGTGTTGGTGCTGTGAATGCACCGCCTAGATTCGGCTGCAGGAACGAAGGACTTACTCCCCACAGCTGCTGGGAGCCCTATTCAGAGATAGCTTTGGCTGAAGAGAGCTGCCTCGCTCAAGGTCATCCCTTCCTTCTAGGGAAAGCACACACTCAGTTACTGATCAGTAATGGTATATAAAGGCCAGGACCTTTTGCTTTATCTTGGAACAGCTTTGAAGGACTATCCAAGCCCCAGAGTACCAGTGGATTAGCTGAAGGTTTTTCTGGGAGTGCATGGCAGATAAATTTCTTCTTTTGCTCAGTCCCCCTCCTTGCCCTTCTTTCATAGATGTTGACCCCAAGACAAATCCTTAATAAACTTCTTACACAACCGATCTCTATCTCAGGGCCTGCTTCCTTCAAGATCCTAACATACAAAAACCACCCCAAGCTCCTGCCTGCCTCAGAGCTTTGCAGATTATTAGTGCAGGAGTAATCACCAGTTGTTCCCTTTGCCTCGTTTTAATTTTCATTTTTCTGATCACTTGTGGGTTGAATATCTTTTCAATTGTTGCCTTTCTTTCTGGGGAAGCTGTTCTATAACAGTTATGGCTACTCACTTCATCATCTCCTTGAGGTTCCCCCACCCGTCTTTGGGTTTCTGAGACACAATTAGCTTGGAGTGCAGATTTTCACATTTAGATGCAACAGCATCTACTGCTGGGGCTAAAACTTCGTTGGTAATAATGCACTTGGCTTTCGAAGATTGCGGTCTGTAGAGAATGTCTTTCTGGGTCAGCTGAGTGGTTCCTGGAATTAAAACTGTCCCTGAAGGAGCAGAAGAAAACAACATATAGAAGGAAGGATTTTCTTTATCATGTTAGTTATTGTACTATAGATCGCTCCTGTGTCCTCTCTGTGTCTCAGAATGAGTTTGCCA